ATAGTTTATAGTGGAGCTGGCGTTATAAGTTCTCCACTTATAACGCTTCTACTCTGCATTTCAGCATGTCAAGCATCTCCTCCATTGTTCTTTATACAGGTTTCAGAGCATTTCATTGTAACAATCCTTCACATTGTCCTCTACCTCCTCTCTTATAGATATATCCTGGTAGGGGTCATGTGTACATGTTTCACTTCTCAGTGTGATTCAATGGATGAGGTTATCCACCCCCACGGGAAACTAGCCAGGAGCGTACTGGGTAGGTCTGAAGGGATGGTGAGAAATGACAGCAGATAAAGAAATGACAGATAAAAAAAATCCAGTCTAGGTCACAATTAGGCCAGCTACCTGTGATTAAATATGTGTATATTACTACTGTGAGAAATATATTAAAGGGCTCAAATCAAAGCTATTGACAGTCAAAAGGGAAGAGAAATGAAGTTATAGAAGGTCTACTTTCTCAGGAATTAGACTAAGTGTTCTCACTAGATTATTTTAGTTAACTCGCATGACAACCCAGTGAGGTAGCTATTATTAACCCCTTTTCGTGGATGAGAAAACTGAGGCTCAAGAAGACCTCAGTGAGTGCTGACTAAATTCCAAGGTGATGGGCTCTCCAAGCTTATGGTCTCTCCTTTAAAAAAAAATCTCATTTGTGATTGGATTCCTCTTTACCCTACTACTAAACCAGCTTTTTGAAGTTATCTGGTCAGGCTATTTTATAGAGCAGAAATTAAGGCCCAAAGAGGTGAAGGGACTCAAGGGAGCAAAGTATCCTACTGCCAGTGGTCGCAGGCCTTGTATTACCCTAATTTTAAGACCCCTACATGAGCAGACTCTTCCATTCACTGTCAGAATATCAGAGGGAAGGGGAGGGGTGGGAAGAGATTAACCAAATAAGTTATATGCATATATTCATTGCCCATGAGCACAAGCCAATAGAGTGATGAAGGCCTGGGGTAGTGTGGGAAATGGGTGGTGGGGGGCAAAGGAGAGGAAAAAAAGGGGGACATCTGTAATACTCTCAACAATAAATAAATAAAAAGTTGCAATGTCTATGAAATGGTTGGAATTCCGCATCAGGAGAAGGATGGTCATTGGTCTGCATGCTCAGGATCTTCCATGACCCCATTCCATGTCTTATCTTGCCTTTGCAACAGACAATCATTTAGCATACACATCATCTCCTCTTTAAATTCCCAAGTCCCATGGTTTGTAAAGCTAAACAAATAAAATTCAGTGTTTTCTGGGAGGAATATAGATGACTGTAGAAAGTGATATATATACCCAAACTGTCTGCAATGTGGAAACATGAATTTCAGAACAGTGTTTTCATTAAGTACTGCTGCTCATTCAATTTGGAGAGACTCATAAAAACAGAAACAAACTGACTCAATACTTTGCAAACATTCCAGTTTTGTGACAAAAAATCGCCTATTATTGATAGTATGAACATTATTAAAAAATTAGTGACAGCTGGAAAGACAACGTTGAGCAAAATGCTCAGGATAAGGGGGAATCCATATTTCATTAGTGTTTTATGCTAAACTCCAAAGAGTGCCAACACTTTCTTTTACATTAAGTTTTCACTGTTTCTTTTCCTATTTGAACAGGGGACCCTGATGGCAGCCCTTTTACAAGGCCCAGAATAAGTTCAGCTGCTGATTGCCTGGTGGGACCCAACAAAATGTCACAGAAACTGTTGAGGACAAGGCCTATGCTTTCCTCGGAGATAAGACTCAGAGCAGCCCTTTGGCCCTTGAGGAAGACAAGAATGCATGTGGCCTTGAATGTTAGAGCAAGAAAGTGCCCACTGAATCACAATATTTATTTTGCCTTCTTACACATAGGGAAGCTGAGCCCAAGAGCAAGCAAGTGGCTTCTTCGTCATCATAAAGGTCTCATTAGTGGCCGAGTCAAGACAAGAACCCAAGTCTCTGGATTCCCAGGCCTCTGCTCTTTCAAATACCTCTTGCTGTCTTTTCAGATTACAGCAACCAAATAAAAGTCTGGAGGTACACTGCTTAGTATGCAAGGCAAGCTGACCTTTACTCTCACTCCCAGAATCATCAACCTTTTGTGGAGACAACCAGAAGCCCTGCTCAGACTGCAGACTTCTCATCTTTCGAGTTCTGAATTCCATATATACAGGGTGTTCCCCCAAAATATATACACTTGAACAGCTGATAGCTCAATGTTGAAAATGAAATGTATTTTAATAAGCAATACTTTTATAAGTATTCAAAGTGTGTGTATACATTTTTAGACACCCAATAGACACACACAACGACAACTCAGGTGGGTCTAAGAAATAAGGAGTTGGAAAACCAAAGTGCTGGCAGTTCAAGAAGACAATTCTCTTTCTCTTTTGCATCCCACCCCAATCTTCAACATAAGGCTGATTTCTGAGTATCAGGACCTTTGTTATTCAGTTCCTGAGAGGAAGCAGCTCAGCGCAGCAAGAAGCATTGCAACTTCCTGCCAAGGCTTAACCTGGTCTAAGGAAAACACAGTTTTTGAGACATATACAGGAAGAATTCCCTCTTCTTAACAGGAAGCCTCTTTACCCCAGAAGGGGTCCTCTCAGACTTGTGGGATCCCTGTTGCCCCAGAAGACAATTTTCTTCCCCTTTAAGGAGCCCTGATAGATGAAATCTACAATGAGAGAAGCATTTCTTTGTTTTCCTTAGAACATGAAGAAAGGCTTGAAAATGCAAACATGTTCCAGTGAACTGCTGTGTACATTCACACCAGAATGTTAGTGACATATTAGTTATCAGAAACTGGACAGCACAATGTTGTCCCTTCTTTGCCCTGCAATTACCAGCCTGACTGCCCTTTTCTCTGAGAGTCAGACTGTAAGTGTGTGTGTGTATGTGCTCCTTTTACCATCTAAATGAGTAAATCCAGATTTTTTTCTCATACTAGCTACCACCCCCCTCACCCTCACCTCCACCCAAGGCATGTTCTAATCCTACAAATCTCTCTTAGAGTAGAATCTCCAGAGTTAGTTGCTGGAGACATGAATGCATCACCCACCTGTTTCAGAAGTGTTTTCCTAGGGATCTCACTGAATGCCATGATGATGGTGTAATGGCAGAGGGGTCCCCAAATGACACCGTGATGAGAGCCATTTATTAGATGGACTAAACATGTTGACCGTGTGGTTGGTCAAAGAGAAGGTGGGGACAGTTAGTAAGCAGAGCTCCTGGGCTACTCCCATAGCTTCTCACTTCCCTGACTCTTACCCTCACTGGCCCTCAGGGGAAATAGGCATGTCTTATAGCCTGGGGAATCAGGGGAGCTCTCTGGAAAGCCAAGTTGCTGCACCTGGCTCCTCAGAGTGTCCCTCTGGAACCTGGTGAACCGTCTGAAATATAGGATTCCCAAGCTTTATCCTACAGGTGGACAAAGGGATCATCACTGTTCCCAGTAGGTTTGGGGGCACATGAGAGGACTGGGAAGATCTGAAGGAAGCTGGGGGGGGGCACAGCCATAAAATCGCCCAAGAAGGGCCCCTTCCTTAATTAGCTCGTGGACACATTTAGTGTAGAGTGTCAGGTAAACATAGCCTCACACTTGGAATTGCCCAAAGGTAATCAATCATCACAGTGACCCAGATGGTCCAAAAGGAGGAATGGATTCTATTTTCCAGAAGAGGAAACTGAGGCTCAGTAGGAGCAAATGATTATTCCAGGGCTGCCCAGCCAGGAAGTGACATCTTTTCAGGACCCCTAGACCAGTGTTTGCTGCTTCATTACACAGAGAAAACAGGAGGGATGGAACGAAGCTCAGCGAGGGACCAAATGTTCCTGGGGAGATACAGGGAGAGCTTGTCTCTGAAGGGACTTGCTCCCACCCCAGGACTCAGATGACTGACCATCACCCCCAGCCAATAGCATTGTTCTGAAACACTGTTGCTAACCTGTGCCACTTCTGCAGCCTTGGGACTGAATAGAGTGGCCATTCATTCACAGAAACACCAGTTCCCTATATACAGCAAGCTCCACCTGATCAATCATATGGGGATAGTCTGAGTCCTGAGGATCTAGTTCTGGGAACATCTCTTCTTTCCTTGCTAATCCTTACATTGCTTGTCCTGTGGGTGAAAAGAGCCTTTTGGACACCTGGGCTTGAGGATGTACCTATTTATTTATTTAAATATATTTTATTGTTTTTTTACAGAGAGGAAGGGAGAGAAATAGAGAGTTAGAAACATTGATGAGAGAGAAACAACGATTAGCTGCCTCCTGCACACACCCCCTCCTGGGGATGTGCCCATAACCAAGATACATGCCCTTGACTGTAATCGAACCCAGGACCTTTCAGTCCGCAGGCTGATGCTCTATCCACTGAGCCAAACCGGTTTTGGCAGGATGTACCTATTTATTAGAGGGATGGGTTGATGGTTTCTAGTTTCCTTGTTTCAAACCCTGGAGCTCTGCCCTGTGACCCTGGGCACATTTCTTCCTCTCTCTAGGTCTCAGTTTCCTCATTTGTCACATCATACAGGATTAGATGTCTCCACTCTGAATGTAGAATTTAGCCATGTATCTTTCCTTCAATAAACCTTATATAAGTGAAGCCTTTCTGTAGGCACGCGCTTGATGCTAGGGATTCAGCAGTAAGAGAGCGGTTTGTCTCTGCTCTGCAAAAATGTCACATTCCCATTCTGTAATGTTTTTTTTGGTCGTGATTCTCCCTTCATGTTGACGTACCTTTTCAGAAAATGCCCCCGCTTCTGTTGTAGAAAGGAAATTGGCAAAGAGAGAGAGAGGGAAAGGGTCCAATGGGCGCCTTGGCTATTTTAGGGGACTTTGAAATAGCAAGCCAAAGTGGAGTGATGCGCTCACTGTAATGACCGCCCTTACTAAGCAAGACAAGAGGAAACCCAAGTCCCCTGCTTGTGAAGTGGCTCAAAGCTCTTAGGAGCGAGGCGGTATTACATAAATTCAAGCTCGCTCCAGATCCTTAGTACCCTGAGTTGCCTGAAGGGGGGAATGGCACTGCCTGCGTGTGCAGCCGGGGTGCTTCGGCCGTCACTGCAACCGGAGCGAGGAGCGCCCGCCCGCACCACCTGTCCCCGCCGACATTCCAGAGGGGAGGCTGAATTGGCAGAGAGCCGGCCCCGATCAGTCGCCGCCTCAGCCCGCGAGGACCCTCCTAGGGGTGTGTCTCGCGGATTCAACTCCCAGCCGCCAACGGACGAGCCCCTAAAGGCGTCTTCCTCTCTGGCGGGAGCCGCGCGTGCCCCACTCTTCCCGCTGTTGCCCCGAGGCCGCCGCGGGCGGATGCACGACCTCCGGAGACGCTGGGACCTGGGCTCCCTCTGCCGGGCCCTGCTCACTCGGGGCCTGGCAGCGCTGGGCCACTCTCTGAAGCACGTGCTCGGTGCGATCTTCTCCAAGATCTTCGGCCCCCTGGCCAGGTATGTTATGGGCGAAAGTCGGACTCCCAAGCCCGGGCTCCGGTGAGCGGGAACCGTGCGGGGAGGGAAGGGCAGCCGGGAGGGGAAGAGAAAGGAGAAAAGTTCCAGGTGGCCCTTGGCGAAGGGGCTGGGGAGCTCCGAAGGGACAAGGGACACAGCGCGCTTTTGGCTTTGCTGCTGCTCCCTCCCTGGTCACCGCGGGCACGGCGGCGCGGAGTCTGCCTGCAAGTCTGGCTGCCGGCGGACTCCCTCCCCCGGGGGAACTGGGCTTGCCCGGCTGCGGTCTCACTCCAGGCGCCCTCCTAGGTGGGCTCCCGGGTGCGGGAAAGAGCTCAGGCTTTGGGGTCTCGGGGAGGAAGACCGCCGAGGCTGGCTAAGAGGCGGCTGTTTGTTCGCCTAGAGTACCGGGGAGAAAGAAGCTCGGGAGAGTCCCGGTGGGTGAAGCGGGATGGTGATGGGGAGCCACGGGGCCCCCGAAAGTGGAGGGGGATACAAGGGGGCTCAGACTGGGGTGTGTGTGAGTTGGAAAGCGAGGCAACTGGGATCCTGGGGGGTACTAAACCCCGCGAAACGGCTCTTGCGCGGGGAGAGGGCGGGCGCGGGGAGAGGGCAGGCGAGCAGCGGGAAGGAGTTGGGGGTGGAGATGGGGGAGGCTGTGCGGCAGAAGCCACAGCGCTGAGCCTGCCGGGAAGGAAGGAAGGAAGGAAGGAAGCGGGGAAGGGCGCCACTGCTGCTGCCTCGGTTGTAGAACACTCCGGGTGGAGGGGCGGGGGGAGAGGGGCTCCACGGTGGCGCCAGGGGGTGGGGGATCACGGGCGCGCGGCGGGTGCGGGCTGAGCTGCGGGATTGACGTAACGAGCTTGGGTTTCCCTCAGCGTCGGGAATATGGATGAGAAATCCAACAAGCTGCTGCTGGCTTTGGTGATGCTTTTCCTCTTCGCCGTGATCGTCCTCCAGTACGTGTGCCCCGGCACAGAATGTCAGGTCCTCCGCCTGCAGGCTTTCAGCTCCCCGATGCCGGACCCGTACCGCTCAGAGGATGAGAGCTCCGCCCGGTTCGTGCCCCGTTACAATTTCAGCCGCAGCGATCTCCTGCGCAAGGTAGACTTCGACATCAAGGGCGATGACCTGATCGTGTTCCTGCACATCCAGAAGACCGGAGGGACCACGTTTGGCCGCCACCTCGTGCGCAACATCCAGCTGGAGCAGCCTTGCGAGTGCCGCGTGGGTCAGAAGAAATGCACTTGCCACCGGCCCGGTAAGCGGGAGACCTGGCTCTTCTCCAGGTTCTCCACTGGCTGGAGCTGCGGGCTGCACGCCGACTGGACCGAGCTCACCAGCTGCGTGCCCGCCGTAGTCGATGGCAAACGCGATGCCAAGCTGAGACCATCCAGGTGAGTGCGCGCCCACATTGACACGGTGCTCTGCAGCTCCAGAGTGCCAGAGACCCCAGTGCTCACCTCCAGCCCTCGGGGTGGCGCCTCTGCTGGGCAGGCGCCAGATGCCCTGGCGTGGCGATCTAGGCGCCTTGGCAGCAAGGGAAGCCTGTCCACTGTCTGAGGGTTGGCCAGCGTGGTGGCTGGGAGCGGGTGCAGGGAAGCCCACAACAAGCGTCCTCCCCCCCCTTCCCGCCCTCCTCCCTTCCCCACTCCACCCCTCTGATGTTGGGACAGGGTAGGGCACATAGGAAAGAATAATGATGTGTGTAATATCCCTGAATCCCACCTGTCCTAGCTCTTCTCCATGCCCCCCCCCCTTCTGAAGAAGTCCTCTTTAAACTTTTCCCCCCTCTTTTCCACTCCCGAATTCTTTCCCCCTTTTATTCTCACTTCTATTTACCTTCCCTCTTTCTAATGCTCCAGATCTTGTTTTGATCTTGCCTTCTCCATCGAAATCTCTTCTCTTACTTTGTTTCTCCTTTTCCTATTTCAACATTTTCTGTTTTCTTCTTCTTCTTCTTCTTCTTCTTCTTCTTCTTCTTCTTCTTCTTCTTCTTCTTCTTCTTCTTCTTCTTCCTCTTCCTCTTCCTCTTCCTCTTCCTCTTCCTCTTCCTCTTCCTCTTCCTGGCTGACTTTTGTCCCCTTTTCCTACTCCTTTTTTCTCTTGTGGCTCTAGTCTCCCAGGAGAGTGGGTTTCCCTCTGCCGCTGTCTGAGGACACAGGAGAGAGCTTGTGTATCCAGCCTGTGCCCCTCTCCAGTGGCTGCATGCCAGGCATCCTAGGTGGTTTATAGTGCAAGGGTGATCCTCAAGGCCTGTGGGCGGGCTGGGACGCTGCCCCAACTCCACGTGGGGTTCATCCTTGAGAAACTGCTTGTGATTTACAAACCCTGAGCCCCAATCTCCACGCGCAGCCTGCTCATTTGCTGGAGTCTGGGACTGATGCGAAAAAATCTGATCTATGAAGAGCTAGTAGCCACTTGCTTTTGAAATGAGCACATTTTCCTCTATCCATCTGCAATGCCGGGTTGGTGGAGGTCATGGAGTACCATAAAGGTGGTTCTGGGGAGGGTGCGTTGGAGTGTAAGTGCTCCAGCAAGAGCTCCCATTCTTCCCAAAACAAATAAGCTGAGCAGGTAAGGGAATGGGCAAGGTAAGTCTAGTTGCCAGGGAGCTTCTGGACTGGGTCTCAGGGCAGGTAAAGTCCTGGCTATACTCTTTGTTTCCCATTTAAGTGACAACAGGGGCTCTTGAGGATGCTGCTGCTTCAGTGGTTGTCTGTCTGGACCCTCTCTCAACACTCCCTGCTAACCCTCCATGGGAGATACTCAGTACCAGGTGCTCTGGACTAGGCGGTGGTCTGGATTAGGAGGTGCTCTGGACTAGATGGTGCTCTGGACTAAGCAGTGCTTTGCAGGTGTCACTTGGAATGCTATAACCAGTGCAGTTTCTTCTGTCCAGCTTCAGGCAAATGGAGCCCTCTGACTTTCTGGTGGCCACTGAGATTCAGAGGCATCATCACTCTCTACTCTCCCTTCCCTCAGTTTACAGTACCCTTTCTTGAAAGCTGAAATTCTGGCAGAATTTGTTGAATTATCCTCTCCTTTCCAGTGCTAACAGATTTTTTTTTTTGTGTCATCTTAAGAGAATCTTGGCCTCGGGAAATTTGCTGTCTCAGTCCATTATGAGAATTGTGTAAGTCATGGTCACCACAATATTCTGGTGTTTAAGAAGATTGCAAACAATTTGGCAATATTGCAAATAATTTATCTTGCTGATGAAACTTGTAGGTGTAATGAGGGATGGTGATATAAAAAGCTTTTTAGGGCAAAAATAAAATTCCACAGCTGTGACTGTGTCAGAGAAGTAAAATTGAGTTCCACAGGACACATATGCCTTTTAAAATTCTTTTGGACATGTAGGTCAAGGTGTTGTATAGACACACCTCCTAGATTGCTGCAAATCAAAGTAAAATCATTTGGGGGAAATTAAATTTTCTTTTTTATAAATTAAAAAATATTTTTGTATTGACTTCAGAGAGGAAGGGAGAGAAAGGGAGAGATAGAAACATCAATGATGAGAGAAAATCATCAATTGGCTTTCTCCGACTGGGGATTGAGCCCTCAAACTGGACAAGTGCCCTGATTAGGACTCAAACCTTGACCCCTTGGTTCATAGGTGGATGCTTAACCACTGAGCAGCACTGTCCAGGTAGAATGAGATTTTCTTGGTCATAAAATGGGTGATACCACAGTGCCATCTAGTCTAATCAAAGAAGAACCACTTTTTAGAGTTCTTGAATCTTACAATATTTGCAAAAATGAAATTTTGCTAAAGAAACATCATAATATCCAAAGGGCACCTTTTTATTTAATTAATTCTTACCCATCTCCAGAAATATTCATTTTGGGGAATAGTGAGAGCCTGAGAGTTCCAGAATTTCCCAGGATGTTAACAAATCCATGCTTGCAGGACCAGTTCTGTGAGTTCTGATAATCTATATGAGCCAAGAGACGTATAAGTGAGATGTGTGTGTGTGTGTGTGTGTGTGTGTGTGTGTGTGTGTGTGTATGCGCATATAGTGAAAATTAGGAATGTGTGAGGGTTAGGAACTAGTCTCAAGAGATGAGAGAGTCAACCATTGGGAGTTCCTGCGTCCAGAAGTCTACTGTGCTGAACTGAGGTGAACAACAGCTTAACCTGTTTGGCCTATGAGCTCCAACACCTGGGTCTTAGTTCCAGGCCAGCCATTGAACCAGCTGTGTGACCTTGGACCACAGCCTGTCCAAGCCTGATATGTGTGAAGAGCACATTCCAGTTTCTGATGAGCTTTCACATTTCTTATCTCTGGTATCTCTTTATAAACGTGCACTATTTTTGGGAAGAGGGCAGTGGGCAAAAGTATCCCCATTTATCAAATAACTGTGAAGCCCAGAGGGGCTGAAGGACTTTCTCAACTGAGCACTTTAGTGGCACAAAAGGAATCTTACTCCAATTCTGTTTGATTTCATAGATGTGTTTGTCTTTTCACTGTGCCTTGATGAGTACAGTGAGATATTTCATGTTAGTAAATATCACAAAATAAACACTCAACAAATGTTAACTGATATCATTGTCACCTATATCATCACCGTTTTTAGTAACTTTACACATGTGAGTTTGGATGAGAGATTGGACCAGGCTTACCACACCCGTCGGAAGAAGAGATTTCCCTCTCTTTGAGGTGTTATGCTCACTAGGATTAGTTCTCTTGGCTAGGTTGTAGAGGGGCTTTTGATTGTTATGTTGGAAATCACTACAAAACAGAAAAGAATAAAAGGATGCTGGGAACCTAGTAAATAAGTGTCAGAGGAGCCTTCACCAGTGACAAGGCCCACATTCTGAGTCATAACCACCCATCGGCATTAGTAGGGCATGAGAGGTCAATGTGGGCATACATCAAGACTGAATCTTGTCTCAGCATATAGTAAAGTGTTTGGGTGATATATAGCTGCTCAATAAAAATGACTATGGCCTTGTTGCCTAGAGAGGGCAAAGAGAGATGTGTGGTTGGCAAAAGGCACAAGTTGTTTATTAAGAATAACATTTCCTTTTTTAAAAAAAAACTTGAAATTTCATTTCATGCATCTGTTTGCCAATATGTTGTTTGGGACGAGAGAAGAGTCCTGCTCAGTCTAGAATTTCTAAGACTATTTTTGAAAATGTAATAAAACACTGTTGCTTACTAGTTGTCAAAACTTGTAAATTCTGCAGGCTTTTTTTTTTTAAGCCAAATTCCTTCTGTTTGTAGTCAATTCTAGTCCATCACTTGATGTGGGAGGAATTGAGAATTGGGCACCAAGAAATTGTCGTAGTGTCATTCTTCTTCACAAGGTGTGGCGCTGGCCTGCACACACAGCGTGGGTGGGAGGAGGAGGAGGTCAGTATCTATACAATTCAAAGTATCTTATAACCATATTCATGCTGCATCCTAGACTTTTAGCATCTCTAAATTTTCCAGTAGCTGCATGGGAGAGTAATTAGTTGTTATCTAAAATTCAGTAGGTAATCACTAATATGAAAGGACTAAAAGGCATTTATATGGAGAAAAGCTTTCTTTTTTTCCTTTTTAAATATTGTAAATGTTTAAATTTTTCCATTTCTTTTTAAAAGGTAGCTCTATTTTGAAAGAGCTATGTTTTATTTAATTTTTTTTTAAATTAACCCTAGCCCGTTTGGCTCAGTGGATAGAGCATTGACCTGCAGACTGAAGGGTTCCAGGGTGGATTCTGGCCAAGGGCACATGCCCAGTTAAGGTTTCAGGCTCCATCCCCAGAAGGGGGCATGTAGGGGGCAGCCAGTCAATGAGTCTCTCTCATTATTGATGTTTCTATCTCGCTCTTACACTATGAAATCAATAAAGTATTTTTTTAATTTTTTAAAATTACAGTTTACAGTCAATATTGTTTTATATTTGTTTCAGGTGGACAGCATAATAAACACAAAGTTTATGAAGTGTTCCCCTTGGTATTTCTGGTACCCACCTGGCACCCTATGTAGTTATTACAATATCATTTACTATATTTTCTGTGTTATACTTTTACATCCCTGTGACTGTTTTGTAATTACCAATATGCACTTCTTTTTTTTTTTTTTTTTTTTTTTTTTTTTTTTTAAATATATTTTATTGATTTTGTACAGAGAGAAAGGGAGAGAGAGAGTTAGAAACATCGATGAGAGTCATCGATCAGCTGCCTCTTGCACACCCCCTACTGGGGATATGCCCGCAACCAAGGTACATGCCCTTGACCGGAATCGAACCCGGGACCCTTCAGTCCCCAAGCCGACGCTCTATCCATTGAGCCAAATCGGTCTTGGCCAATATGCACTTCTTAAAAATACTTTTTTATTGATTTGAGAGATAAAGGGAGAGGGAGAGAGAGATAGAAACATCAATAATGAGAAAGAATTATTGAT